GTACTGCTTTGGCACTTGTGGAAGCTGATACGTGTTTGTGCTTTGTGCTCTGCATTTCAGTGTTGGAACACTAAGCTGTGGCAGGCGGAGCAGGCTTCAGAGGACAAAACATTAATGGAGGAAGAGAAGGAGGAGCACAGAGAGAAAGAGACAAAGCGATCTCAGGTATCGGGGTAAAGAGGAAATGGAGGGAGGACTAGAAAGACAGAGGTCGTAGCGGGCATAAAGAGAGGAAAAAGAGTAAGAAAGAGTAACAGGAACAAAAAGGAGTAAGAGAATGGTGTGAAAATTTACCACTCTTCTCTCCTTCCCTGTCTTTCTTATCACCTCTTGATCCGGTGGTGCTTTATCCACAAGAGGAAAAGAGGCAGGAAGATGGGTAGATAGAGAAGAAAAAAAATGAGAGTGGAGAAAAAAGATAGAAGGAAATAGTTTTGGAGGAGAGCAGCAGGTTGGGAGTGGAAGGCTTTGTGGTAACTGGGGTGTTTTCAATATGGGCAGATGCAAGGTGAAGGAGAGAGGGAGGCAAAGAAAGCACGTGCAAGGGGGCAGGCAGAGGCTAGATTATTGAGGGATGACACAGGAGATTAGAACAGTGCCATGGTGAAGTGACAGAAGGATAGCATGAGAAGGAGAACACTAGAAGTACTTAAAGGTGGGGAAGGTGAGAGGTGGAACTGAGACCTAAAGCCCATCATACAAGCATTTACCTACTGAATTGGGGGAGAGGGGTGGGGGCTTGGGGAATGCAATTCAGAAGCAAAGAGCAGGAGTAACCAAGAAACAGAGCTGAGACAAAATACCTCCTGGATGATGTCAGAAGGGAGAACATAGGGAGCAATGATTTGTTCTGCCTTAGTAACAGATGAACACTTGTTAGTGAAGGATAACTCTGACAACACAATTAATAGATTCTGAAGTTTTGCTTCCAGAAGGTATAAATCTTTGTGACCATTTTGCCCAACTACTTGTGTGAAAAACGTCTCTTGGTGATTTCCACTTTGAGCCCAGTGCTTGCTGAGATAGAACACTTCTCTCAGAGGGTTGTCCTGGAGATGGCCTCTGCCTCCCTGCCTAAGGTCTGCAATGCCTTGAACGGTTAAAAAGCCTGCTTTATTTCTACTGACAGCTGGAGTTATGCCTGACAAGGAATGGAAACTTAGCTTGAAAGGCCTGGGACGTGACAGTCTCCAACTGCCATGAATCAGAGCTGAGCATTTTAAGGTAAAATGCCAGTGTCCACGAGCAGTGGAGTTGTCCATGCAGGACAGACATGGAAAAAGCATTAGTCCCAACAACCTCTGCAAGCTAAACTACTCCTTCGTCACTTAGAGCCTGCAATGCAGCTTCACATCCCAGCCTTTAGAGCTTGTCCTTCATTTGTCTGCTCAATTAAAGTATCTCCCATTCTCAGAAATCTCCCCTCTGTCTGCGAACTTTACCGAGTTCCTTCTTCACCTTAACTTAGCTAATGCACAAGCTATCCAAGGTTACCTACAGAACTGTCCATAAGATGGTGGGATTTGACTGATACTTTCACTATCCTGTTAACAGTTTCCTTCCTCTGGCATCATTTTTATTAGCAGTAGGTGTCCCATGCCCAGGGGAGCGCTGTGTGTGAACACCCAGATAGGAGTGAGCTGTAGCTGAGTTGATTGCTTCTTTAACAGCTTGCAAATGCGGGAAGTAGCAGAATAGACATTAACGTGCAATGCTGCTGAGATCCCAGGCAACTTCACAGCTATTTCAGCACAGCCACAACAAGCAAATGCACAGGTAGCCTTGAGCCAGAAAACAGTCAGAAGTGGCTCATCCCCTAACAGTGCTCCTAGACCAGCAGTGGAAAGGGGAACAGGTGCCCATAGGTGCAAACTCACTTGCCTAGTGGTAGTTAGCAAATGGTCGACAGGGCTGGGAAGTGAACACCCATACTGGGTTCAGTGGCTTTTCAGCAGGTTGTCCGGGCATGAGCGGTCACCATGGAAAAGGTGTTTGTCACAGCACCACTGCAGATGAAGCCATTGCATTGTCAAAGCCTAGAAAGAATTCATATATGGCTCTCCAGCAGTGAACTGCTTGGCTCTAGAGGGAAAAATCAGCCATTCAAACCTAGGCCTGACTCCAAATGTCAGGATCTGTCATTGGGATTGCCAATAGCACTGGGGTATGTGCCTTCAGCCAGAGTTACAAGGCGCACAGGCAACCCTCCAAACGGGTCCTGATGTTTTTTTCACAGTTAATAGCATGCAACTTTTACAATGTCAAGCTCCATTGGTGAAATGCATCCATGTGCTAGAAAACTTTATAGTGGGCAGATTTTGTGCATCCCTGCAAGCTGCTTGTCCTCTTTTGCCTGAGCTGCCACCTTTCCTGAAGAAAGGAGGCCAGAGATTTCTCTCTGAGTCAGTATGCTCTTGGAGAATAAAAGCACATGTGAAGGAACTAAATCAGCCTCTTCTTCCACGCATGGAGGGCACAGGAAGAGTGAAAGCCTGTCAGTACGTGCTTGCTGTTTGAGCCTAGCATGTTGACACCTTCTTTGGCCAGTTCATGTTAGATTCAATTAGGTACCTTCCCTGGCAGCAATGATTTACAAACTTCTTGCTCTGCTTCCAGCTGGCTTCCTTGTTGCTGAGGCAGTACCTCAGCTGGTCTCTCTGGACTCTCCATCTGGATGCCTCATCAGCTGCTTGTCACGGCCCAGTTTGAACTCTGCCTTCCTCTTCAGCCTTTCCCAAAGGCAGCACCCAATGCAGAAGAGTCCTACCAGCAGGGCAGGTGTGGCACAATCCCTCCTGCCATCTGCTCAGTGAATGATTGGTATTGCCTCCTAACTCAGCCTGCTTCACCAGTCCCTTCCTCCCCAATAACAAAGCAGCTCTTTACCTCAAGTGTGGCAATAAGGACCACCTTGCCGGCTGGCCTGCCATTGCTCTCCTTCTCTCCAGAGGGAAAATGCGCTCATTACCCTCACCTCTGAAGACGTTTCAGTTCAACCCAGGTACGCCTTTGCAGGTATGTTAACTTCTCACACCCAATTTCCTGGCCTGTCAATTTTTTGGAAGAACAAAAAGGTTGAAAATGTCAAAAGATTTTCATTTGGGATCAGTTTGTTTTCAAATTGCATCTGACTATGTTACCATATGTCATCTTTCTACAAGCACTGGACTTTATCAGGAGTGCATATGCCATGACTACAGCCAGCCACAGGCGTCCTGTGATGCCGCATGGCTGCGTAATTCTGTTAGCCACAGTGCACCATGGGCAGCATAAATTCAAGAGGGAAGTATGAGCTTCATTGGATAAGGTGAGGGAACTGTGAGGTTATGGACCTGGACTGTTAACATCATTCTAACATTGCAACTTGGGAAAACCAGACACAAAGCAAAATATTTTTTGTGTTTTTTACTTTTTTTCCTTCGCAAAATGAAAATTTACAAGAAAAATCATTATGCTGAAACCCAGATTTTCATCTTAAAATCATTTGTAAGGAGAATTTATATCTAACTTCAGCTTGGAGATGCCTTATAGCCATGGCTTGCGGTCTCCACTTAGAATCATGTTTAGTTTGCTGCGGCTTTTGAGAGTGCAAGATCATTCCTAGCCCCCCAAACACTCCTGTGGTTTGATTTTTTTTGTTCTCTCATCTCTCTGCTCAAGGCTCCCTGACTCCAGTGAGCTCTGGAGTAGGGCTTCTGTTAGTACATCTCCAAGACTGCCTTTTCATCCCTCAAAACTTGCCATGGGGAACTTTATCCACTTCAGTACCTTCTCTATGCAGGCAACTCATTCCTAAGTCTCTTTCTTGCAGACAGACCTCTTCCCTCCTACCCGTATTTTAACACCTCTGTAGAAGATAAATCGCTTTCTTATCCTGAACTGCGGCATTGTCACTGTGTTCTGCAGTACGAAGGGCATTCTTTTTCTGTTTATGGCTTTTCTCTCCGCACTTACACAACAATGTAACTGCCTGGAAATCAGCAGCATTTCTGTTTTGATCAAATCATTCATCCAGTCACTCAGACTTGTTCATGCTGGATTGAGCATGCATAAAGGAGATTCCTGTCCTAGCTGCTTTCTGGGAGGCTGGATGGCACCAAGTAACCTGTGGTGCTTTCCACCCCTCTGCAGTTAAACAGAGCCCTCAGTTTCTCAGGCCCTTTGCCTACAGATTCTTTTCAGG